TTCTTTAGACAGGAAGCTTTGCTGGAGTTTGGAAAGGATTTAAGACTAGGAAGCTACAGGGCAGCAGTGCAGAGTGGGATAGGGTTGGAGGGGAGTTTGGCTGGGTGGGTTATAGCCAGGTATTTTCTTGCCAGTCTACATTAGATCTTAGTAAAGTGTAAAGGTACAGGGTGTAGACACAAGTGTCCTAGACCTAACATCTGCTGGACCTAAAACTTGTGCAGGTGATTTAACCACTCCTGCCTCAGCTTCCTCATCTGTAATGAGATGATAATCTACCTCATGGAATTTGGGGGAGAAGTAAATGAGCTGATATTGGACAGTGCTTAGAAGTCTTGGCACAAAGACAATATCTGTCAGTTTATCAATATCTGCTATTTTTGTTGCTGCTATACAGTGTGGTTCCCTTAGAATCCAAGAAGAATTGAAATGGAGGAGGTAAAGGCAAGTTTTCATTGTTCGTGATCTTGTGCCAAAAAGGTATTGTTTTATACTCTACAGAGCATTTCTCCATGTGTTATCTGGATTTTGTGATCTGTAAAATGATTTAGAAAAAAAAAAAAAAAAAAGGGCTGGTGAGATGGCTCAGTGGTCTAAAGCACCCACTTAGAACAAGCTAAGCTAAGCAAAGCACAGGGACCGTGGTTCAATCCCCCAGCACCACATGCCAGCTAGCCCCACCCCCTGGTGGGCTGAGCTGGTGTCTTAGTTACTCCTCTCTCGTTGCTGGGACAAATACCCGACACTCAAAATGAAGAAAGGAAAGGTTTATTTAGCTCACAGTTACTGGAGGTTTCATTCCATACTCATCTGGGTCCAAGGCAGAGCAGCACAGAGCAGAAAGCAACCTTTCATGGCTGCGGCAAAGAGCAAGAGTGCAAGGGAGGGGCAGCAGCAGCTCAAGCAGCTAGTTTCTCTTCCCACCTTACATTGTAATGCAAATTACCTGCCCCAGGGTAGGGAAAGTACTCACACCTATGGGTACTTCCCAGTACTTACCCACACCTATGGGTACTTCCCAGTACTTACCCACCTATGGGTAATCCCAGCAGTACTAAGACACATAATTCCAGCCTTGGATCACACATAATCCCAGTGGATCATGAGTTAACACAAACTCTAGAAGTCCTCTCCCCATGACTGCATGAGGCTTTGGGGGGACAACTAGACACAAACCATAACAGCTGGCCACATACACACAAAATAAATAAATAAATAAAATAGGACTTTCTTTATAAGGCTTCCAGCAGGATTAAGGCACTTCATGTAGTGTTCAGGGAATGTTAGCTGTCTCTGTTTAATAGGTGCATACTCAGTATTCACTGAGTGAATGACTAAATACTACCCCCATGATTGTACAGTGGAGCTATCTCTAATTAGTCAAAGATTCCTTTTCATGGATGGTGGTAGAAGGAAGGTTTGCACCCTGAGTCCCACATGTGCTACACTCTACCACTGAGCAACACCCCAGTCTATCTCCATCTTTTTCTTTTTTGTATCAGAAGCTGAAGTTCAGAGTAGCTCAGTAGTTTGCCCAAAGTCAGCCAACTAGTTAGGGAGAGTTGTGGTTATGAGTACTGTTGGAAACAGGGTTTACAAGGGAAAGGATTTAATAGAGGACATATAATGTATAGGATTATTTTATGATATTCACCCGAAGAGTCAAATGCAAAAAGAGTCCTGGAGATCTGTCCACCCACTAGAGACCCAAAGAATCTAGCTGAGGACCTAGAGCCCATGCCAATGTTCTTCAAAAGTTCAACTGGAGACCTAGAGACCATGACAAGGTCTCATGCAAGTCTGTATCAAGGATCTTTGCTGTGAAGGCCCAAGGTCAGTGGTGGGAGCTAGAAAGTCTGTGCTAGTAGGATGAAGGATCTGTGCCAGGTGGCTGAAGGATCTGTAGTAGAGTGAAGCAGTGATGCTCAAATTGAGAACCAGAGCTCCTCTGAAAAGTACCACAGCCATCCTCAGCAACAGCAAGGACCTGAGCTCCTCTGATGATGAGCACAGCTGAGTTCATATCAAGAAAACCTTTGAAGTAAGCTTCTCCAGGAGAATCAACAGCTCACCATCTCCCCCGCCAGTTCTCCTTTTGTGCTGTCGGTAATAACCCTCAGGTGGGTCTTCCCATGCCCACATCACTGATTTAGTTACCTGGGTGTTACAAAATGACTTAATTAATCCACCCTAAGTCCTACCTAACTAGTCCTGGGTGCTAACTCTAGCTCACTTTCCAAGATTCCAGCGCTCAGGTTTTTCTGAGTCGTTAGCACGGGTGGGCTTGCACTTTGAACACCACAGCTGTGATGCATTCTGAGACAGAATGTACATGGACATCACAGCTAACATGTCTGTGATATTTCTAAGCGTTGTTTCTGCTGGGCTGGGCTAGGCTCAGCTGAGTGTGCTCGTAGCTTTCCCTGGATCTGACAGTCAGAGTTTTAGAAGGAAATAATGATGCCTTGATGGTCTCCACGGCAATCACTGGCAGCCTTCCAAGGACATCTTGAGAAGCAAAAACAAAGGCAGACCCCAGATATCCTATTGATGATTAAAACATCAGGTTTAAAAAGTCATGTCACAGATACTTTACCAGAGTTAAAAATTAAAGGCAGAAAACATCAAGCTTAACTTTCAAAAAAGGAAAAATCATGATTCATTTCTTTTACTTTTGAGTTTATTTTTTAACCCAGTGTCCATTCATGGACTTATCCCACCAGCAGTGAACAGGAGGTTGTTGGCTCTGCGTGGCCATGTGTCCCTCAGATGGCCTCCTCCTTCCTGGCTCCTCACTCCCACCATCTCTTGTGCCTTAGGCAACACTGCAGGGGCCCAGAGCCACATGAATATGCTATGGTGCTTCAACTCCATAAAGGATGTTTGCACAAATCTCTTACCAGAAAGAAAGAAAGAAAGAAGAAAGAAAGAAAGAAAAAAAAAGGATCCCCATGATAACATTCAGCCTTGAAACTGATAGGCCTAGGGATGCTCAAAAAAAAAAAAAAAAAAGCATTTTCTAAAACATCTCTGACAGCCAGTATTTGGAAGTGAAAATTAAGATGGTGTCATTGAATCCACTTCGTTGAAGCAGCTATAACAGGTTTAGACTTTACTGAAACAGCTGCCCTAAGTTTGAAATTAACTACATCCAACTGAGGACTGCAATGGAGATAAATTATGCAGCCACAGGTCTTCAGGGCTGGAGGACTTATAGATAACCTTTCAGCTCATTCAGTTCCCCTGCGAAGCTACTGATCTACAGGGAGGTGAAACTTACTCGAGGACACCTGACCAGTGAGAGCACCCTGTCCCCATCAGAAGGGCCACTTGCCAGTGTGCCTGCAGTCCGTACCTGCTCTACGCAACACTCCTGGCCAAGACCACAGCAGATAAAGGAACTTCTCAGTCCAAAGCCTAGGAGTCAACTAAGTCCTTAAATTATGTAATGCATCTGGTTCCTTTAAGATGTGGGGAAAGGGTGGTGCTGTGACAAGAACAGCTTGCAACTAACAAAAATGTAGAAACAAATGTGTAACCACAGACCTGGAAACAGCCATTTCCTACCTGTCCTGGCAGTAAGTCTCTTCCTGTCAGGAGAGATTCAGGAGGCCTTTTCAAGGCCTCATATTCTCTTGCCCCTAAAACTTCTCCCAAGGAAATTACAGCTCCAGTTAGACTTGGGAAAGCTAACAAAAACATAACTAAAGAGACATCCTTGGTAGTAGAGTTTGAAAACACAGGAAAACGTGAAAGAATAAATTCATACATCGGCTCATTCTTTCACTCAACAAAGGTACATCAGAGACGCAGTCAAAGGGTCTCCACTCCTGTCAGTAGAACAAGAAATGTTGGTGAGAAAGAGTCCCAGAAGGATCCTGGGAAGGTTGATTTCAGCGATGGCTCTGCTCCTCATGCTGGGCCCTGATTATGCCTTGGTCTTCCCCACCTTTCACTCCCACGGCTCTTTATTATCTCTTCTATTACCACCCAAAAACAATAAAGCACACTAAACTGGTATCCCCACTTCGGATTCGTTACAGAATATACATATATAATATATATATTTTTTCAAGACAATATATATCAATATAACAGATATATCAGATTATATCATTTCAAAGGTCCAGATAAAATGTAGAGCCTGCCCATAGTAGCCTCAATTTGAAAACAAATTAAAGAGCAGCTGTTTCTATTTAAAATAGTAGTTTGCCTGCTTAGGCAGAAAGCAGTGGCAGGGGTTTGATCCCGGGAGAGCCGTGCCAGCCCCGCCCCCGGGACAGGGAGTGGTGGGGAGAGCCTGTGATCCCACCCCTTGGGAGGCTGAAAACAGGAGAATCACTTCAAGTCCAATCTACATTGTGAGACCCTGTAGACCCTTTACTACCTACCTACCTACCTACCTACCTACATACAATAAACTAGTAGTTTTCAAGCCTGTGTGGGCATTAATATTAACTGAGTTGTGAAAAAGACATAACTGCCTCTCCCCTTTCCCTTCTGCCTCCGCGATAGTACTGATGGCCAGGATCCAAAGGTTTCCTTTATGCCAGCATCTGGCTATGCTCTCTACATAATTTCCATATTGGCCTCATAACCAGTTAGCAGGGTCAGCAGCTGGCAGTGCTGGCCTAGCCCCTGCGAGGAAAGGGCTGGGACCTGTCCCCCTGCCAAACAAGCGAGCCCCACCAGAACCGTCAGAGGGCCAGCACACGTGCACTTTCTTTCTGATCTGCACTGGCTGCAGACAACTTTCGGGGAATGCCAGGCAAATACTGTTGGCCCAATGGGAGTCTGGTTTTGACCAGTTTCTGAAGACCTGTTTGTTTGTTCCATGACCATAAAGTGAATATAAAGAATTGCTGATTTTTAGACAAACTGCTCTGGATTTGGGTCCAGATTTAGGAAGGGGTACGATCACTATAACCAAAAGCATTCAGGCTTTCTGCACAGCCAAACACAATGGGTTCATGAGTGGGATTTACAGAGCACACACAGGACTCTGATAAAATACACATTTATTAGAAATTTTTCAGCAGCATCATTTCCAGTTATTTTTCTAATCAAGGTACATTTCCAAGTAATTACAATCAGTACTCAAAATATGAACAACAAATACTTTGAGAACCCAGAAATAAAATAATCAGTAGTACATCTCATCCATCCATCCATCCATGCATCCATCCGTCCATCCATCCATTCATTTTCTAACAAATGTGCAAGATTAGCACAGAGAACCAGGAACGCTATTTGCAATGGAAATGCATATTCCAGCCGTGGTTCCTGTGCTGGAGACTCTACCGTCTACTTTAGCGAAGAGCTGGGTTGTACAGTACATTCTGATACCAATGTACAGATTTAAGCAAAGGACCCAAATAAGGCTCAGTAAAAACAGTTTCCCTTTCTATTCATGTTCCACTTAGGAAATAAATAGGCATTATTATAATGATATATTTTCACACAGAGAAATAAAAACCCAGTTGAGGATTCATTAAACTGGAATTTGTTTTGCACCTTACTTCAAGAATACACAGATTTGGTTTTAGTGATTCAGCTAGATGAGCTCCAGTCCAAAGGAAGGTGCTCATTTAACTGAATAGAGACTCAATGTAAGACACTTGTGCCTAATGACATGGCTTCCTCGTGGACAGTACAAATAAAATTGTCCAGTTGGCAGCTTGTGAGAGAACATGTAAAACAGCATTTTCTGGGTAGATAACAGGAATATGCAGAAGGGTGAGACTGAATTGCTTTTTCCACCTTTTGTATTGTCTGAGGCATCTACAGTCAAGCCCAGATGTATACAGCAGATAATGTCCACTATCAATATCCACTAATCAAGTTGATATGTAATATAGAATATTAGCTATGTGCTGATGTGTAAAACTGGAACCAAGAGTGAGGCCTAGATTCCTTTCCTCAATAATTTTAAAGGAAACACACATGGTATCTCCTCTGGAGACATCAGACATGACTAAGGGACCCCAGCCAATTCTCCTTATTGGATCATGTATTATAATGATCGCCAATCAGTTCCATAGATACTTTTATTAGCAAATTCAGTGATGTTATAATCTGCAAAATTTACAAATGCACAATATATTTATAGTGTTACCTTCAGATGACTTCAGTGCAAAGATATACATACAGTACATTGTGGTAATTATTTGTAAAAATATGAAACAGCGTAAATAAAAAAAAAAAGACACACAAGATACTTCCAACTATAAGCAACCACAGGAAAAAAATATATATATATATTTTTATAAAGTACTGAATGTTAACTTTTTTCATTTGTTTGTAAAAAATATACGTGCAAAAGTATGTTTCTCATTATTCCCTCAGTGGCTGGCACGGCTATGTCTCAGAGTCTTCTTTAACAAGGTTCGCAGTGTCTTTGAAAGTGTCTTCTGTTGCAGTGTACCCTGGAGACGGGCCTCCTTTCTGAGAAGTTTTAGCAGGAGGAGAAGGCGATGGAGGTGGCGCTGCAGCAACATACTCTTTAGGCTCGGTATCCATCTGCAACCAGAAACAGGAAATGATCATTCACTCCCCAACACGACCGGAAGCGTTTCCAGTGAAGATGGGTCTTTGTCAGCTTGCTCCCAACCACCTGAGTGTCCATATGTCCAGTCAGGCCCAGCAGATGATTTCTACAAAGAATGTGCTATAAATTACCTCTGCATAGATGGGATTTTCAAAGTTGGTAGTTTGTTTGGGTTTTCTTCTGAAGATACTCCATTTTTTGGCCTGTACAAAAGGAGAAAAGCAAAAAACTTTCAGCAATGGAGTTTTGGGGTTTTTATTTGTTTTTTGTGGTACTGGGCATTGAACTCTGGACCTTATGCTTAATAGGCAGGGGCTTATGCCACTGAACTATATCCCCGGCCCTGGAGTTTTGGTTTTTGGAATGTACATGCATATATGGGCTTCTTTTCCCTCTGTGTAGGCCTTAAAATTTCTTCTCACTGAAAGACAAAGCAACTTGGGACACAGCTCATGTGGTAAGTTGCTTTATTCTTCCCATCATCCCTGAAGGTCTGTGGAAATCTCTGGGCTGTTTTCATCTACTAACTTCAAAACACTTCCTTGATTTGAAACATACAGTTTCAGAATCTGGTTCCAGCATACCTAGAAGCTCTGCCATGCAGGGCTCTGGCTGCTTCAGCACAGAGAGAACAAGAGAATCTAAAATGCCCAAGAGGTTTCTGGGAAAAAAGGTTTCTGAGACTGCACAGAACTGCAGGAAAACCTATAGTTCTCATTTCCTACATTTCTTGACTCTCAGCCAGTTCAAGAGTATTTCCTTTCATTTTATCAATTCCTCCTGTAATCATCCTTAAAACAAACAAACAAACAAACAAACAAAAAAACCAACTAGCATTCATCAGATGCTCCTTTTGTGTTAGGGATTATTCTAAGAATTTAAAGGTTTTCTGACTTAATCTGTTCAACAGCCCTATCCGGTGGATTCTCATTATCCCGGAATGTTGAGTGCTGGTCATAGTAGATGACACACCTCAACTGTGGGGTAAGAGCAGGCAGTGATTCTCCAGGAACTCAGAAGCCCATAGCTGAAGGAACCAAGAAACAACCCTGGAAAATAGTGGGTGTCCACCACATAGTAAAAAAAGCCAGCAGAAGACAATCAAGAGAGAGATAGCTACTGTGACAGCCAGCTGAGGTGGCTCACACATTCTGTGGGATGTGTCTCATTCTGAGAACATCCAGCATGTGAAGCAGGGATCACATGAAGGTGGGAGAAGTGGAAGAGGCCATTCGTTTACTCGAAACATGGTGCCGCCAAGGGGAGGGCAAAGACATCAAGTCTGAGCCTGTGTCTCTCAGCTTGAAGCTGGGAAAGCCAAAATTTTTCAAAAGCCACTGTTTCAGTATCAAGGACTCCTTGAAATTAAGCAGCTAAAGTATTAATAGGAGCCATTATGTGGTGGCTGTCACTTTCACCCTGTTGGGAGGTCCCATTCATGTCAGTGTAACTTGCGGAAAATGATAAAACTGAGCCATAACAGTTCATGTTCTTAAGTTTGAGTCCGTTCAGTATATTTACTGGTGAAAGGTAAAGTTGCAAGATCCCTTTGCATATCACATTAACATCAACCTCAGGTGATCTTAAACAAGTGCCTCTTTTGCTTTTATTTATTATTTGCTTTTTGTAGACTGTGCTCACTATATAGTCCAGGCTGGCCTTGAACTCCTGATCTTCCTGCCTCAGTCCCCAAGGACTGGGACTGCAAATGTGCACCTAGCTTATCTTTGTTGCTTTTAAGCCAAGTGGCTGCTAGTCTGTGCCCAAGGGACAACAGGTACGGGAAAATCTCTGGGCATAGCACAGAGAGCAAACCTTAGAGAGTTTCCACCTCAGCTAATTAGGACAGTAAGAGGAAGAAGCAACATTACACAAGCATAGAGATGAGAGAAAGGGACTACAGCCGGTGAAGGGCACTCTCCTCTAAGGTCTTTCTGTGCTCAGGCTGTTCTGAGGAGGGAGGGTCGGGTCAGAGGTCCTCGCCTTCCCACTGCATTCCCCTTCCTTGTGCTAGGGACAGCTCTGTCCAGTGAAGAGGTAGAGAGGGCTTGAGGTGAACTGAGAAAAACTGTCCAGAACATAAATCTGGCATGGCCCTGGGCTTGAGTCAGATCTGGGGAACAAATATGTGACATTCAAATACTCTGGTGTCTGTGAAAACTTAAATTTCAACATCCATTTTTAAATGGATTAAACATAAAGGGATGGGGTTCTGGCATCACATACTGCGCTGGCCCTGCCCCGAGTCCTGCATGGTGGCGCACACCTGTAACACCTGTAATCCCAGCACTGGGAGGCTTGAAAACAGGAGGATCGCTATGAGTCTGAGCTGCATAGTGAGACGCTGTATCAAATACATGAAAGAAAGAAGAAAGAAAGAAAGAAAGAAAGAAAGAAAGAAAGAAAGAAGATATCTGGGGAGATAGCTCAGTGGCCAAGCATCTGCCTGTCAAGCTCCAAGATGCAGGTTTGATCCCCAGTGTCAAATGCAATACAGACCCTGGAACCCTGGGCGCACAGCGCTGGTCCCCAAACCAGGCACAGTGACATACACCTGTAATCTCAGCACTGAGAGGGCTGAGCTAGGAGGATCACTACAAGTCTGAACTGTGTAGTGAGACCCTGTATCCAAGAAATAAACAAAACAAAAAGAAAAAAAGAAAAAAAAAAAAAACATAAAGGGAAAACATTCAATCTCTTGAAAAATATGAAACTGAGCATTCCTTTCTGTGATGTGTGTGTGCCTGTGTGTGTGTGTGTGTGTGTGTGTGTGTGTGTGCACGCATGCATACTTATAGAAAGGAATAAGTAATAGATATGGAAATGTAGACAGAGGCCTTCAATACAAGCTCTTCTCATTGGTATCAACTTAGCTCATAAACTCATTTTTACCCAAACAAGTAGAACTAAGACCAATGTCTAAGGTGGTTCTTGGCTGAAAATGTAACAAGACTTCCAGGTTAACTTAGTACATACCAGTTGTTTACAGAATATGCAACTTCAGAAACAGATTGAATAAAAGGTTACTCAGAATTTATTTTTTTATATTCTACTTACTAAAAGTAGCATCTTAGAAGTGAGACATTCCAGGTCTTATTATTCTCACCTGGAGAGTGTGTGATGATTTCTGTGGTCAGAATTACAGGAAACTCTATTGGGCCAGGAACACTGTACACTGGGCAAGACAAGAGCTATCCCATCCAACCAACAATAATGCCTTTAGCATGGGACATTATTGAGGACTCCAGGACCCAGAGATAAAATGGCTTATCAAGAATCAACAGCTAGATCTGTGCTAGCTGCCTATATCACTGAAACTAGCAATATGTTTTCAAACAACAGACCTTCATAGTACACTTATTTGCTGAATTTTTTCTGCATTCCACATAGACGACTGGTTGCAAAGGTTTGGCAGGCTTGATAAAGAAACTATCTGATGGCCCTTTTTCTTTTAACCTCCACTCTTAAATACTGTGAGTGTCGCACGGAAGACAGTGCTGTTGGCCGTATGATTGGTCAGTTAATTAGAAGGGTAATGAACGGCCTGATAGACGGATAAAGCAGGTATGAATGAGCACCACCTAGTGGTAAACATTGGCGCTAGCGGTAGAGCTGGAAACATACAAGGAAGGATCTTTTGCTTGTATCCTTACACAAGGAAATCTTAATTTATGTTAAGTAGATATCTCACATGAGGCGCTCCTGGTGTGCACATGCTGAATCCAAAAGTCTGCCCTTTGTGACACAATCCTTCACAGATCAAAACCAACCCGGCAACTCCTGCACACATCATCGCAGGACTCAGTCCTTCCTACCTGAGGTCCATCAGCATCCGGGGAAGTTGGCGTTGGCTCTGGAACTATCCCAGAAGGGCTGATGGGACTTCCATAATTCTTGTTTTCCACATTTTCAGAGATAGTCACCTGTGAACATACTGAAGATCCTTAACCAGTTTTGAAAGAATTCAGTAATGTATAAAATTTGTTGTAAGGTTTATTGCCTCCTCAGTTCTGTTCACTGTCTTGCTCCCACACAGACATGGTCAGGTACCATTTGTATGAGCAGACCCAAACCCAGAACTACACATATTCCCGTCACTCTTCAAATCCAGAGCACTAAACCATCTGTGCCTTAATCCTGAGAGGTAAATGCATTCCCCGCTGGCCACATTCTCTCTTATTAAAGCAACTCTGAGTATACTCTCTCTGGCTCCTTTGTCCACTGTCAGCCATAATCTTGGGTAAAAAGAAATTCTGACTGCATGTGACAGCCAAACCCCAAAAGAACAGCATGAATAATCTCCCAAGCTCAATAGTGAACTGAGAATCCCACCTTTGAGTATTAAAAATAAAACTATTTTTAATAGTATAGAATAATATTATATTGATGTATGGTATTCTCACTATACATTAATAGGAAATGAAGACTCAATGTAAAACAATGAGGTTAGCAATTCTTTACACATTTTTTTTTCTCTACACATTTTTATATAACAGTCACATAATTCCCAGTTTGTCTCTTAAACCCAAATTTGCATGCACAGGTAAATTACAGAGTCCACAGCCTGCGCCTTTTCCAGGCCCCACTTCACTTTCTCTCAGACATGGACACATGTTCAGACACCCAGGCTCCTTTTGTTTCAAGGGCAAACACCAGATGAAATGTTTGATCCTGTGTTAAAGTTTTTCTCTCTAGTACCAAAGGCTTAGGTAAAATGCTTCCAAGATTCTAATATCTCTGTTCTTAAGAAAGTTATCTATGAAATAAAAACTTCAAGCTTATGTTGAACTAGAAAGAAGCTGCTCACGTGTTAGCACTGAAAGGTATTCACTGGCACTGAGTACAAGGCTGCTTGGACAGAGGAAAGGTGACAGGCCTGCAAGGGTTGCTGGGCCTAATGATGAGCTTGCTCCCTGCCCCACTCACCTTTCTCTTCACCCAGCTGCACTTACAGACCATGGAGCTGCACCACAGGGAACTTCTGCAGCTGTCTGTCAACCTTGGAGACCTTTGTGCTTCTCAGAGAAGCAGGGCGCAGGCAAGCAGAGGGAGGCCCCCTGCCTGTAGCCCACCTCACATCACACTGTGCGGACACTACATTCACACATTCAGTTCCCAAGTCCGTAGAAAGGCACAGTGGTCACCAGGCCTCTGGCTCTGGCACCTCTCAGGACAAGTCAGGATGGCTCAGAGCACCATCTGGGGGGCTGCCACGCCTCACCACAGGCTTAGATTGTGGGCAGGCTTGCCCCCGCAGGGCCACCAGCCCTGACAACAGAGAGGATGCTGAGGCTCCCCGGGCAGGGAAGGCTGGGAGGCTCCTCCCGCAACATCCCCAACAAAATGACATACAGCAGCAGCAGTGGCCAAAAAGAAAGGCAGTGTGGTGTCTCACCTGGGCCGGCAGTACCACTCTGACAGCAGTGTCTCTGGTTGAGTACATCGGGTTCTCAAATATCACAGGCTCCTTCCCCATCTCCATGGCAAAGTGCTCACTCTGGTGGGGAGAGGCAGAGGTGCCAGTGTTACCCCAAGTACAAGGGTTCAGAGACAGCAAGAGACCACAGGCCTCAGGGGCACCTCACGGTCTAGAGCAACACAGATGCGCTGAAGACACCAGCTCCAGGACAGACAGGCTCCTCCTTCATCTGTATTCTCTATAGCCCCTTAACATAAATCACTCACTTGTGGACTGGTGGACAGCAGAGAAGAGGGTGGGCAGTGAGGGAAGAGAAAGGAGAATAAGGAGAGGGGCAGAAAAGAGGAAAATGGATATTACTGAACTTTTTTTTTTTTTGCAGAACTGGGGTTTGAACTCAGGCCTTTGCGCTTGCCAGAAAAGCGCTTATTCTGCTCAGCCATTTCCCTGGTCCTATAATTGAACTTTTTTTTTTTTATAATTGAACTTTTAAGCAGGGCAAAAAGTGCAAGATTTGATTGGGGAGACAAAAATACTGAAAGTAGACTTCAGGCACGGACTACGGAGCACACCAACAAGCTGAGATTGTGCTGGCCCCTCAGGAAGCTCAGGAAGTCCTCAGGGGAGAGAATCTTATACCCATTCTACAGACGGGAAAGTGAAGGCAAGCAAAAGCAAGCTCCGTGCCCATCACTGCATACGTAGAAAGTGGCAGGGCAATGGTTTGAATTGACTCTGGCTCTAAAATCACTGCTTATTCCGTCACTATACATTAATGGGAAAATATGACAGTGGGAAGAATACAGATCCCTACTCCTTCGATGCATACAAAATATCATCAAATCAAAAGAGACCACGGTGTTCTGTACCTTTCCCCTGCCTCCCCAAAACACCCATAAAACTTTCTGACCCCAATATAGCACAGTGGTGACAGTGGGGGTAAATATCAATTTTATTAAAAAGATCACCCCTAATTTTTAAACACATTTCTGGTGCTGATGAGATGGCTCAGTGGTCTAAAGCACCTACTCAGAACAAGCTAAGCAAAGCACAGGGACCGCGGTTCAATCCCCCAGCACCACATGCCAGCCAGCCCCGCCCCCTGGTGGGCTGAGCTGGCCACACACAGACACAAAATAAATAAATAAATATTTAAAATATAAAAAATAAAAAATAAACACATTTCTGCAGCAAACCTAACATTCCCTAACTTGGCCTGTATAGTGTAAACTCTTTCTGAATGGCATACTATATTTCAATATTCTCTCAGATAACTGCACTTTAAAAAAAATGTTTCTTTTATAAAACAGTAAAAAGGGCAACCTGCAAATCACCACTTCGAAACCAACTCACCGCAGCCATTGATCTGTCAATAGCAGACTCCGGGCCGAAGTCGGACACGCCAATATCCATGTTAACATCCACCCCTGATCTGAAGGTCACCCCATTTCCATTTTCTGAGGGTTTCACAAGACTGCTTAAGCTGCGAGTAACCAAAACCAGGGTCAGGCCTTTGCAGTAGTTCCCTCTACACTGTAAGTCTTACTTAAATGAAATGCCCAATCCACCCCGAGTGTGGATGTTCCACATAACAAAACTGACCTTGGCAGCTTGGGCAGAGCAGGCAGAAGCGAGCCAGTTTTCCTATAGTGGAAGAATCCTAAAGTTCCCAGTGCTGCAAGGATGATGATCAGGAGGATTGTCAACAGCACCGCCATTGCTGCTGTCACAGAAGGGAGAGGCAGAGAGCTGATCAGCACTCAGGGAGAAGAGCCATCCAACTTAGGGCAAGGACCAGATGGGGATAAAAAGCACATAGCATCCAGTGTAGGGGCCAGGGCTTCCTGGAGGTTGCCTGTACCCTTGAAACTTACTTGTTCCTGGAGGGATGCCTTGGGAAAGCCCGATATCACAGTAAGCGCCACTGTAACCCTCAGCACACCTGCAAGTGAGAGGAGAGCTGTTGACTGGCCCTGTGGCCTGCTTAGACTCAACCAGGTGTTAACGGCATTCAGCAGTAGAGAATCTCAAGACAGCAGACAATGCATCCTGCCCAGCCTCTGTTTCACCTGTGTGCACAATGAGCAGAAAGAGCAACGCTCTGACTCTATCAATCCACTTCCAGCATAGTAGCTGCGCCTACAGGGTCAGTCTCACCAAACCTTGTGGTGTCTTCTCTGCTCTATGGACGTCTTCCTTAGAGGGCAAATGTGGAAGTGGCCCTTCTGTTCTTTCCACTGACATGCTTTCAGTAAATACTTTCAGTAAATTTTAAAGGCAGTTATGCCTCTGCCTCCCGGTTCAAGCTTTCTCAACAGGCTTCTTTCTAAACGCCTAGCTCAGTTTTCTTCTTGTCGATGCCTTGTATTAAAACAGCTCTGCTGACAGCTGTCCTCCCATAACCCTACTGCAATCCATCATCCCAAGTGAGTGGGAGAATGCTATTGACATCCCTCCACGTCCTCGCTCCCCCAAATGTGGCCCCCCACTGGTGGCACTGCCTAGGAGATTAGTTGTTTTTTTTTTTTTTTGGTGGAACCGGGGATTGAACTCAGGACTTTGCGCTTGCCAGGGAAGCGCTTATTCTACTGAGCCATCTCCCTGGCCCCTAGGAGACTGTTAAGAGATGCAGAGTTGCTGTACATGAGGATGGGCATTCTAACTAGATGCCCTGGTGACTTACGCAGTTATAGCTGGGAAGCACAGCCTCAGGGCTCTGTGGCCTTCCCCAAGGGAGAGTTGGCTGGTTAAAATGTGAAGACCAATGGACTGACAAAGTTCCTGTGCTTGTTCCCCTGGCTACTGCAAGGCCTCAAATTTCCCCCAAAGAGGAAAGGCCTCTAGACCAGGCCTCAACATTTAGACTTACTTGCACTTGGGGTGGTCATTCTCATCAAAATAGCAGCTTCCTCCATACATGCACCTGCATGGGGGGGGCATGGTGATGGGGAGCTCGATGGCTGTGGAGAGGAGAAGCCATGCGCGTGTTAGTCAGGACACACAGGGCACGTGCACCATGCAATCCGCAAGGCGGGCCATGCCAATGCCAGCGAGTAAGTATCCCTGCCGAGCTGCCACCTACCCCCCCAGCATGAAGGTCCTCATCAATAAGAGGACCTTGGGGAGCAGTCATACACACTGCCTGGAAAGAGACAGATTATAGCGCCACCACCCCTGAAAAAAACAGTGGAGAGATGCTTAAGAGTTACATGACGCTGTGGTGAGAGAATCTCTTTAAGACATTTATGTTGTGTGAAGTTTTCACTTCTATGAACCACTGACTAAAATCAAGTTTTGTTTAGGTACACCTCAAGATTGCAGCTAGAGGCTCTAGAGTACCAGCAGTAGACCAGGGGACAGACACACAGACATGGACATGAGCCACCCAAGGGACAGTAGCTAAACCTCCCTGCTCCATGGCACTGCTCCTTCTCGGGCCCCTTACACTCCCTGGGAGTGCCAGGTGGGGAGGTAATGTTTCAATGTTTCATGAGTAGAAGATGATTAGTAAGTATTTATCATCTCTTACTCAGGAGCTTGGTTATTGTTCTGGCTCAATCCTTCGATTTGAGACTCTACTCAAAATCTCTTTTGCCTGAGAGCCCTTCTGGAAGGTTCTATCTAAAAGAGCAGCCCTGCCTACCCCATCTACTTCTCTTACCCTGTGTTCCTTATCTCCTTGGTACTTTCCCTGTCTCCAACACACATTTCTAGGTTTCTCTATCTATTGTCTTGTTTGAAAATACTCTCAATAACAGCAGGTGATTTGATTTGTCCATTTTGCTCATTTCTGTGGTGTCTAGCACTTAGGACAGTGCTTAGCACATAGCAGGCACTCAACAAATACTGAATTATCTAATAAATTCATATACCAAACCAAAGTCCTATGTGAGGTGGACATAGCATTAACGCACTTGCTTTGGTTAAAATAAAAATCTTTCAATTTAAACAAAAAATTTAAGTGAGAAAAGTATGGTGACAACAAATGTTAGAATGACCCATCTACAGCATAGAACACTCCTCAAAAGCTGAAATTATTTAAAATATTGCTCAGAATATTGGAATCTTCCCAGAAGCTCCCCAGAAATGCTGGGATGAGCATGGGGCAAAGAAAGAGAGAAAGGAAACAGCTTTTGAGTTTATCCTCCAAAACTGCTAACTTAAATCCACTTGTGCAGCTCAGTTAAAGGATCTTTGTTTATGTTGAGCTGTGGGGGACTCAGGTCAACAATTTCTGACATTGCCAGTTAAACAGAAGACCCAATGCTATTATGGGCTACTGGACTCTTTTAGAATATTTTGCTGAGTTTACACACCTATAATATTCA